GCCCCCTGGTGGGCTGAGCTGGCCACACACACACACACACCACACACACTCTCTCTCTCTCTCTCTCTCTCTCTCTCTCTCTCTCTCTCAATAAAATAAAAATTAAAAAAAATTAAAAAAAAATATATGAGATCCACATAAAGTTCTCTGTTTGGAGGCTAGGGACAGTTAGAGGTGTTACTGTTTTTTCCTCCCAAACCTCAGCTTTTGATCCCTATAAATTTACAAGGGGAGAGAGATAGCTCAGCCAACCAAGTGCCTGCTTAGGCAAGCGCAGGGACTGGGGTTCAATCCCCAGCACCACATGCCATCCTGGGTGCGCTGAACTGGCCACTGAGACTGGGTGTGGTGGCACAGGCCTATAATTCCAGTGCTGGGGAGGCTGAAAACAGGAGGATCACTGTGAGTCCAAACTGTGTAGTAGACCCTGTACAAAATACATAAACAACAATAACAACAACAAAAAACCTCAAATTAAGCAGATCTTTTTTTTTCTCTTTTGAGCAGGAACAAAGTGCTAGGACCTTGGTGGGTATGATGGCATAAATTTGTAATCTTAGCACTTCGGGAGGTTGAAGCAGTGGGAATACAGGTTTGAGGCTAGCCATGGCAATTTAGCAAAACCTGTTTTAAATAATAAAAGAAAGGCTAGAGTTTTGTTTTGTTTTGTTTTCAGGCTAGAGATCTTAACAGCCTGGGTGCCTTAGTGAGATCTAGTTCCAAAATAAAAAATAGAAAAAAAGCTGAAGGGGTAGCACAACTGAAGACCTAGGGTTCAGTACTCAGTGCGAAACTAGGTGTGGTGGTACACACCTGTAATCCTAGCACTTGGGAGGCTGAGGCAATAGGATCACTGAGTTTGTGGCCAACCTGGGCTACATAATGAGACCCTGTCTTTAAAAAAAGAAAAATAAGGGCTGGGGAGATGGCTCAGTAGAATAAACGCTTGCCTAGCAAGCGCAAGGGCCTGAGTTCAATCCCCAGTTCCACAAAAAAACAAAAAAAGAAAAAGAAAAGTCCTCAGTACTGGGGTTCAAAAAGGGCTTGGGCCTCACTCAATACAGGGCCTCAGATGTTACTGGGGTAAGTGAGGAGCTGAGCTTCAAGTCACCCCTGGGAGGACCCACTTCTCCATGGCCCTCACTGAGAATTGGGCGGTATGAACAGGAATTTGGTAGGGTGGTTATTTGGGCTTGGGAATGGGAGCTCAGGAATGATGGTTAGCTTCTTTCAGCCTCAGTTTCTTCAGCTATAAAATGTGAATAGGCATATTTGCACTTTGGGGTTTGTGGGACCTGATTAGAGAGGATGTCTATGAAATTTTTAGGTATGTAACTGACTTTTAAAAAAATTTACATATATAAAAAATTGCCTTTAGGGGCTGGGGAGATGGCTCAGTGGAATAAGCGCTTCCATAACAAGCGCAGGGTCTGAGTTCAATCCCCGGTTCCGGGAAAAAAAAAAAAAAAAAAAAATTGCCTTTCTAGTTCCTACATGGTCTGTTCTATGCAGTCAGATTGACCTTATTCCTTCTTCTATCTCCCTCTCCTCCCACCCCACCCCTACCCCCTTGTGCTATGGGGATTGATTGCCTTCAGACTGAAGTCTACATCCCTAGACTTTTTTTTTTTTTTTTTTTAATTTTGAGCCTTAGTGTCTCTTTAAGTCACTAAATTACCCAGACTGGGCTCAAACTTTCAGTCCTCCTGCCTCAGCTTCCTAGAGTGCTAGGGCTATAGGGGTGAACCAGCTTTATGGGTATTTCATTTCTACTATCTGTGGCCATAGAGGTCTTGTGCTTCTTTTTTTTTTTTTTTTTTTTTTGGCAGAACCGAGGATTGAACTCAGGCCCTTGCGCTTGCCAGGGAAGCACTTATTCCACTGAGCCATCTCCCCAGCCCCTTGTGCTTCTTATAGCTTGGAATCTGGGGAATGTGGGTGGGGAAGAGTGGGTGGGATGAGGTCAGTTGTTTTTGAGTCTGATGGCATGGCAGCAGAGAAACAGGCAGAAGGGAAAAGGGAAAGGGGTTTTATTATCTTTGAGGATATTCAGAGAATCTGGAGAAGATAAGGGATTCTCTGGAGTTGAACAAAGAGAGGCTGAGGCTTTTATAACCTTTTGCCAAGGGTGAAGTTTCAGGGGGATGTTTAGATATATCTGAGGAGCTGATTGGGGTCTTCCCTGAGGCATGGGGAAAGGTGAAAGGAAATTGTACCCTGGGCTGAGGTGGAGAAGTGGGGAGGTGGTCTCTGGGAAGATAAGCTGTTTTAAGGGCTTCAGCCATATTAGATGACCACCATAATGGTTCAGCAACTCATACTAGGGCCAGAACCTATCAGGGAGAATTTCCAAAAATGGCTGTGGGAGTCAGAATGTATGAATATTCATACATTTATGGGTGCCTTTATATTTTTGAATGTCAGTAGTGTTAGGATGTCCATGGGTGTCATTAGGTAGAGCAGATTTTTCTGTGTGATTCTCACTGGTCTGCTATTCTCTCTAAGGTAGGCAGAAAGGATAGAAGTAGTATTTTCTATAAACAGAGTTTAGGACTCTGTGCCCTCAGCTTAAGCCTGCTGGTGACTTTATGGTTTTCCTTCTAGGTCTGCTGACATTTGTGAACTGTGCCTATGTCAAGTGGGGCACACGAGTACAGGACACATTCACTTATGCCAAGGTCCTAGCGCTCATTGCCATCATTATCATGGGCCTTGTTAAACTGTGCCAGGGTAAGAGGGGCCCAAGGTGGGAAGAAGGGTGGACATCCCCAAGAGTTACTCTGATTTCCTGAGGAGGATGTGGGGACTTCCCTAGCTTACTGATTAGTTCTTTCTGTGTATGTGTTGGAAAGTACCAGTGAGTGCACAGGATTGCCATGAATCTTTTTGTGGGCTTCATGGGTTAGGCTAGCTTGGTCAACTGGAGAGTTATCAGGCTGTCCCTTGGGGCCATTCCTTCTGTGGTGGCTGAGATCATTGCAGGAGACCAGTCAAGCTCTTGAAGCTTGAGTCATAATTGAGTCCCAGAAGTCATCTGGGTTTACTGGTTTTGTGGCTCCTGATTTTGATCTGTGACTGCTAGGCAGCAAATAGGAAAACTTGACCTCTTAGCCCTCTATAGAGGGGTGGCAGGGTGTGTGTGTGTGTGTTCTGGAGAGAGGTAAGATGTAGAAATGGGTGATTATTTTAGTCTTCTTTTCATCTAGACTTCTGGGTTCAGATTCCCTTCCAAAGTCAGCTCTCAAGAAAATATTAGAATGTTGTCAAATTGGCACTGTCTTTCCAGCATGTTTGCTTGCACAAGCTTTTCATCCCTGAGTCAGATCAGACTGGTAGTAAGGGGTAACTAGATATTCAGAGTCCTTAAAGAAGTTCTAGGGAATCTTTAACCAGCAGCATTTCTCTCAATTAAGGACTGAGCTGCGTTTATAATCATCTGGGGAAGCGAGACCTACTGGATCACATTCTGGTCTATTTGAAGTCCAAGAATCTGTGCTTTTTTTCCCCTGATGTGCTGGAGGTTAAAGCCAGGGCCTCACCCCAGCTAGGCAAACACATTGTTACTGAGTTACACACACTCTCTCACCCCCAGGCTGTGCTTTAGCACAGTGCTCTGGGTTATTCTTAGGCAGCTGGTCTAGGACCATTGTGCACTCATGCTGAGTAAGTGCTGCCCATCACCATCACCCAGATGTCCCAGGGGTCTCAGGAGCATCTTGTAGTTAAATAGAGTTAGCAATTCCTCTTCCAGGATCTGTGCCTCAGGAAACCACTGTTCTGTCCAGTGACTAGCACCCTGGCTGGTGGGGTCTCTAATTTTCCTTTTCTTGCCAGTCCTTTTTTTGCCACTCAAGAGTTGGGTCTAAACTTTCTCCAGGTTGTGATGATGCTAAATTTCCTTAGAAGTCTGAGTCTTAGCTAGGCATAACCACACACACTTGTAATTTCAATACTCTGAGAGGCTGAGGCAGGAGGATCACAAGTTTGAATCCAACCTAGGCAAGTCAACATGCTAGTGAAACCCTGGCTCTAAATAAAAAAATAAAAAAGGGCTGTGGATTTAGTTCAGTGTGAAGGCCCTGGGTTCAATTCCCTAGTACCTCCCCATCCTTAAACAAACAAAAACCCCTAGCATGTCCAGAAGGTCTGTTTCCTGGCAGCTAGGTACTGCCAGGGAGTGTCGTGTCTGTAGTCTCTATAGTTCTCTAAGGAGAATAACAGACAGGTGCCCCAGTTCCCTTGGAGGGTCAAGGTAGCACGGTGAGACATAAGAAGACCTCAACTGTTCTAGTTTGCAGTTGCCTGGTCCATGTACCCACACCTCTTCAAGGAAAGCAGCAGTCTTCTTTATGAGACTGATAACCTAAGGGACCAAGGTGTGCAGTGATGTGGGCCAAGAGTTTCTCCAGGGAAGCCTGATTGTTAATGGAAAGTGTATCCTTTATGTGAGACAGTAGTGGTGTGTTATAAAATATAGGTGTGTGTCAGGGATATAGCTTACTGGCACAGTGCCTGCCTGGAAAGCATAAGGTCCTGAATTGAATTCCTGGTACCCAACAACAACAACAACAAAAATAAATAAATAGATAAATAAATAAATAATAGGTGGAAGCTGGGTGTGGTGGCATAGGCCTCTTAATACCGCAAGTTTGGGAGGGAAGAGCAAAAGGATCACACATTTGACAAGTTCAACTTGGGAAGCTTAGTGAGACCCTGTCTCTAAATGGACAGGGTTGTGGCCGTAGCTCAGTGAGAAGGCCCTGGTTTTAGTCCCCAGTACCAGGAGAAAAAAGGTAGAAGAGCTGTGGCTTACTGTGAGGTCACTTGCAAGAAGAAGTATTGTAACATCTGAGGGTAGCCAGGAATGCATTTGTTTTTCTGCTGTTGTCTAGTTTCACTAAAGCCTGTTAACTGCTGAGGGAATGGTGGGGAGGGGTAAGGTGCAAAGAGTGGCTGATGGTTGTTCTTTTGGTATTAAATGGCTTTTTTTTTTCTTCCCCTTGCCCTGTTTTTTTTTTTTTTTTTTTTTTTTTTTCTTTCTTTCTTTCCTTACCCCTCCTTGTCTTCTGCTTTTTTTCATTTTCCCCTCTTTTCCTTTGACCTTCCTTCTCTTTGAATTCCCACCTAATTTTGCTCCCACAGGACACTCTGAGCACTTTCGAGGCGCCTTTGAGGGTTCCTCCTGGAATGTGGGAGACCTCTCTCTTGCCCTGTATTCTGCCCTCTTCTCATACTCAGGTTGGGACACCCTTAATTTTGTAACAGAAGAAATCAAAAACCCAGAAAGGTAAAGGCGAGATCACTCTCATTCCCACCTAGGCTGGAACTCCTGCTGATAGTGGGCATGCTCGCCCCCCCCCACTTCCTCCTGCCTCTCACCCAATTCTTCTCCCTACTCCCCCTCCTCCTCCAGTTAGGAGGGGTGGGGGTGAGCGTGGGAGTGTAGGAAGGTGGGAAAGCCCTCTGCTTTCCCCCTCATGTTCACAGTGAAGGGTCCTCAGGATCCTTTCTAGAGGAGAGGTCTTCCGTGGGCAGCAGCAGACCCAGCTGGGGCTGAGGTGTCAGGACTTGCACTGTGGTCCTGAGACTGTACTCTGTGGAACCTGAGCTGCTTCTGGCTAGCTGGGTCCCCAGCAGGGCCTCTTGATCCCAAAGATCTTTATATTCATCTTGATATCATAGATGCAGGAGGATTATGAAACCCAGTGGGACCCACTGGCCCTACTGCAGTGAGACAAAGTATTGGTTATGAGCTATCTTCATATGGGAAGGTCTCTCTTTATCCTTTAGTAGAAAGAGCCCATGGCATGGGATGCAGACCATAGGCTGTGAGGGTCTTTTTGTTGAAGACCTAGAGGCCAGTGAACTGTTAAATGTTAGGAAAATTTCAATGGAGACTTGAGCTGTGATCCACAGGAGAGGTTGATTCCAGGTTGTCTTTTGTTACTTGTCCTGACAGAAATTTGCCCTTGGCTATTGGGATCTCTATGCCAATTGTGACACTGATCTACATCCTGACCAATGTGGCCTATTACTCAGTGCTGAGCATTTCAGATATCCTTAAAAGCGGTGCAGTAGCTGTGGTGAGTCTCTTGGCTTCCTCGTTTGGGCATATCTCATGATGCTTAGTCACCTTGAGTAGCCTAGTCTCTCTGTAGCCACTGCAACTCTGGAGGTTGAGGGGATGGGTCTAGATCATTGGGTGGGCTTCTTAATGACTGTGTTTGCCATAAGAGTATAGATCCAAGAAAATTAGAAATCCTTGTTCTGCTAGGTGTGGTGGCACCCACCTATAATCACAGTACTTGGCCTGAGCTAAATAGTTCAAGTCCAGCAAGGAGAGATCCTGTCTAAAAAAAAAAAAAAAGGGATTCGTGTCCTGGTTCACTGCATTCTGTGCTCTGACCCCAGACATTTGCTGACCAGACGTTTGGGATGTTCAGCTGGATTATCCCCATTGCTGTTGCCCTGTCTTGCTTTGGGGGCCTCAACGCATCTATTTTTGCCTCATCAAGGTACTGTATCCCAGCTTTACTGATAATTAACGGCAATATTTTAATTCTTTGGAGCCCCAGGCCTAAAAGCTTCTCTTTTCCCTTCTCCCTCACATGGATATAGAGTGTGTGTGTGTGTGTGTGTGTGTGTGTGTGTGTGTGCGTTCATGTGCTTGCCTTTCTGTAAGCACATGAACACAGATTGTAAGGGGTATGAAGGAGGACTATAAAATATAGTTTGTAGCAGTGGCCCTGAAAGTTACCAGGTTTTAGACTCCCAGTGGGTTTTATTGCAGTTCTGTAAGTAAGGTGTGTACCAGGTACCAGTGCTGTGAGTAGGCCGACTCAGTCCCTCACTTCACAGAAAACCCTGAGGCCAAAAAGTAGGCTCCTGCTCTCCTGTCTGTGCAGTCCTGTTTACAGAGTGCTTGTCCTTCCTGTGTTGGGAGGAAGGAGCGGGTCCATCTTTTGAGGGGTTCCACTTTCCCTCTTCTTCACCACTTTGGCCCTTCTCTCTGGTGGATGTTCACTTGAAATCAGCTTTCCTTGAGCTTCTCTTATTCCACTCATAGCAGTCACAAGAGGCTTTTCCATCTCCCATTTTCCTCTTACTCTATTCACTTAGTGTGTGTCTGGTGCTAGGGATTGAGCCCAGGACCTTACACATGCTAAACATGTACTCTACTATGCCTCTACATGTTTCATCTCTGAGTGTTTCATCTCATCACAGAGTAGTCTACATTTTAACTTTCTTTCACTTTTTATAACTTGGCTTCTATTACTTGAAAAAATATTATTAGGGTACCTTTTTCTTAGCCTGTTTTCAGGCCTTAATTCTACCAGACCATTGAAGAAGAGATATCACATTTTCTCTCTGAAACTATTCACGTGGGTTCTGTGACATCTGATACCTTTTTGTTTTTGTTTTTTTTTTTGACTGGGACTCATGTAGTTCAGGCCTTGAAGTCATGGTGATCCTCTTGTTTCAGCTTCCCCAGTGCTGGGATTACAAGTGTACACCAAAATGCCCACTGCCAAAATGCCCACTGACATCTGATATTTTATTTATTTATTTTTTAATTTTACTGTATTTTTTTGGTTGAATTTTTTTTTTTTTTTTTT